CGTGACTTTATGGACTCACTGTATAGGGTGGACTCAAAAAAAACAGAATTTTGTTTTTGAGCTGTAACTTTTTTTGTTCTTGAGCAATTTCCTTTTGTTTTGGCTTGTTTGAAAGAGAATTGAACAGGCGAATAAATCAATGTGAAACTTTTGAATTTTAAGAAAAATTCAAAATGGCGAACTTCTTCATAAATTACCTAACTTTGGATAGCGCTGGAACTTTTGTGTGACCCCCTGTATAACTTTTCCTGATAAATTCTAGAAGTTCATCATTTTGCGAACATTTTAAAACCTCGACAGGAAAAATCGGTTGAAAACTAAGTGAAATATTAATTTTTTTGTAATATTTTATTTTATTTAAATTATATAGGTTTAGATTTAGAACTAGATTTAACCCATGTCTAAATAAATGTTTTAAATTATGAATATATGATAAATGTGCTGCGCGCTGGTAGGTAAACTGCCTTAGTAGCACTCACCTCTTTATTCGGATTCCTGTAATTTATATCAATGTTGAAATTATAATTCTTGAGATTTGATTAAGGTTAGATTAAGGTTAGGAAACAAAATTGTACACTTTGAAGGAATTTCAATAAATTTACATTTACATTTACATTTACATCGTATATCACCTTTTCATATCCAAAACCAGGTAACTTTTGAAGAAGTCCGCCATTTTGAATTTTTCTTAAATTTTGAAAGTTTCACTTTGATTCGTTAGCCTGTTCAATTCTCTTCCAAACAGGCCAAAACAATAGGAAATTGGTCAACAACGAAAAAAATTACAGCTCAAAAACAAAATTCCAGTTTTTTTGAGCCCACCCTATACATATACTATTAAATTCATTGTTATTTTACAAAAAAAAAACAAATAAAAATAGGTAATATACAGTGTGTTATTTAAAAATGTGAAAAGTGGCCTTCTTTTTGGATTTTTCGATGTTCTACAACTATACAAATAGTGAGTGAAAAAGATGTTCTCCTAAATTAAAATTAGTGTCTGAGGTTTTTCGAGAAATATTCACTCTTTAATTGTTTTTATCTGCTAAATTACGAACGCACAGTATAATTTATAATAATATAACAATATTAATTATATTTTGCACTTATATACTCATGTTTTAATATTTCAGTGCCCTAAAATAATTATGTATTTACAAGATGGTAATAGTGAATAGGCTTAATAACGAGGGTAAGTAACACACAATAAAGCGCACATCCATGCAACCACGGGTGTTACATTTAAAAAACCGAACCGCTGTCGAACGGATTGCCGGATGCTAAACAGGGTGTTACTTACCTCCATGCACCCCGGCCATACAGAAGTGTAGGAAACGAGAAAAGATAAAATATATATTTGAGCGCGTCAGATATTGAGTGGGGATGATAAGTGAACTCGAAAAAACATCCTATTCAAAAGATTGACGATGCGAAAGTGACGCAATGTCATCGCGGCTTTTGGCAATTGCAAAAAAAAAGAATGGCCATATTGAAATACTCCAGCACGTCAGATTATTATACAGTCGATTGAGCTTGATGTCCTAATCGTGCTCGCCCAAAATGGGAAAATTTCACCCATAAATTGACCGGTTGAATAAACCGGTAGCTGTCAAAAAATTCCGGTAAAACTTAGGTGTAAGTCCGGTTTTATGGAACGCTTTGGTGTGTTAAAGTTTGGTTGTGACGATTGTGTTGCTACAATTTAACGAAGGACTGCCAATAGTGACCATTCAAAGCAATTGATGTACGTCAAAAGAAATTGTCAAAAAATCTCCAACCGAAAAAATCGACAAAAAATCCTGGTGCATCCGGTGCCTCACCGGTTTCAAACAGATGATCATTCCGGTCAATCTTGGAACGGAGGATTCGGTTCAACCGGTAAAAAGTCGGTACATTTTGGAACGGTTTGGTGAGTAAACTATTAAACCGGTATCGCACCGGTCCAGAAACCCGTCAATTTTCGAAAGTGCCCAATCTGACCATTATTTAGAATAATTTTTTTGTTCTGACCATTTTTTTTTTTGTATCACCAAATGGGATGAATAAAATGCACGGAAAAATGTATACATAGGGTGGTCCAAAAAAACCGGAATTTTGTTTTTGAGCTGTAACTTCTTTTGTTGTTGACCAATTTCCTTCTGTTTTGGCTTGTTTGGAAGATAAATGAACAGGCTAACGAATCAAAGTGAAACTTTTGACATTTGAAATTCAAATTCAAAATGTCGGACTTCTTCATAAATAACCTAGTTTTGGAAAAGGTTGGAACTTTCTTGTGAGCCCCTGCATAACTTTTTCTAATGAATTCTTGAAGTTCATCATTTTGCGAACATTTAAAGACCTCGACGGGAAAAATCGATTGGAAACTTAGTGAAATATTGAAATTTTCATAATATCGAATATCAACTTTTTTTTATCCAAAACTAGGTAGGTACTTAATGTTTGAAGAAGTCTGCCAATTTGAATTTTTCTCATATTTCAAAAGTTTTACTTAGTTTCGTGAGCCTGTTCAATTCTCTTTCAAACACGCCAGTTTTTTTTTTGGACCTCCCTATATATTCAAAATTAAACTATAAAATCGATACTCAACTACAAACTTTCAGCCTCCATTTTTCCCATACATCAATAATCCGTGCATGCGCGATGGTACCTCGTTGATATAGGCCTAACCTAAGTGCCTAACAAACAATGCTCTGCCTCTATTCAGCTGCTGCCCTCGGCCCTAGACCCACCGCGTCGAATCGCCCGCCAGCCGCTATCACTTTATTTTAGGTCTTTAAGTGGGATGTTGAATAGCTTTCCTCTTCCTTAATAATTGGACTATCAAATGCAAAACGAATTTTTCAAATCCGACCGAGTATTATGTATAAAATCAAAATGTAAATACAATAAACGTAGTTCCAAAAACAGCATATTAATCATAATATCTTCGACAAACGGCAGAAATAAACCTTAAGCAGCGTTTAGATTTTAATATTTAATAATCATCCTTTAATTAAGTAATAATTATAAGGCTTGATTTTTTCCTGGCAGAAATAGACGCAATTTCGATGCATAAGGTTTATAAAATTAGAAGTTCTGTAGAACTTTCAGGGATTAGCGCGTTCAAACAAACTCCTCAGCTTCAGCTTAATTATGTTACTATAATTCAGAAAAGAAAAGTAAAATACAAAAAAATAAAACAAATTTTATTCAATCTTCATCTTCATCCGTCATCGTGACTGCAAATCTGGTTCGATTTGCTCAACAGTCTCACCAGCAGGTCAAAGGGAAAGAGAGGCGTGGAGTGGGAAATACATGCTTTACCGCAGTTGCACGCGCATTAAACTTTTCTGGCGATTTTTTCTACCTCGGCTTGAGGGAAACGTCAGATTTTTGAAATGCACACATTTTAGCATGTAATTCACCCACCCTACCTCAATCTGACGCGCTCGAGTATTTCTAAAGATCGATTTTTTTACTATTCTGATACATGAAAGAGGTACTCAACAGGGTGCAAGGTACCCCCCTTTTCCTAATCTGTCGCGCTTGAGTAAATCCCAAAATCTCCTATTGGGCTTCCCTACATACATAGGAATTCATACCCATATCCCAATGCCCGGTTACGAGAGCTGTCTGCTTATGAGAGAATTTTTACTGTGCACTTTATTATTTATAGGCTTGGATGGGTTATTGAAATCAGTACCTAAATTCGTGTAATGATTTATTCTGTTCTAATTTAATTTTTTTTGGCTATCCTAATACATAACTTGTTTAAATAGTCTAGGAAAATAGTCGAAAAATACATGTGTTGCAAAAAAAAAATTCCTACCCAAATGAACTTTTCAGGGATGATAGGAGGCGGGTGGGTGATCATAAAACCGAAAATATCAAACATTCACCCCTCTGGCGTTTTGCGCTATAGGGGTTGAAAGTGCGCCATTGGCGATTACTTGGTACCTATTGATTCTACAAAAAAATGTTTCAAATAAAAGATGTGCAACATTATTTGATCTACAATGTTTGTATAAAGACTTTTTTGATTAAGGGCCGTCTGTGGTCATAAGGGCCGTTTGAAATTTTATAATGAAAATGAAAAATTTTAACCAACGTGAAAAATTTTTCTACAACACATACAACATTTTTGCTTTATGAAGTTTTTACTCACCCCCTGCCGTTTTTCAATAGGGGTAGTTTAAAGTTTATTTATTTTTTCACAAAAAAAATTTTCCTATGAAAGTTTTATAAGATTACATTTCCTACAATTTTTCTCAATCAACTTTTTTTGTAACTCACCCCCATTCAGCGGGGGGACACTTCCCTTAGAGAAATTTTAGTTTTTAGGGGTATATATTTTTTTTTTTCTTTTCTCGCCTTTAGTGCATATAAAAAGGTGCAATTAACATTGTATTAAAAGGATTTTTTTTCCACCACCTTTTTGTTTTTAGGGGTAGTTCGCCTATTTTCAACTTTACAAAAAAAAGTTATAGAGAAAAGTTGCCCAAAATAATATAATGAACAAGTTTTCTTAATATTTTTTTTTTTTAAGTTGAAAATAGGCGAACTACCCCTAAAAACAAAAAGGTGGTGAAAAAAAATTCCTCCTAATAGAATGTTGATTGCAACTTATAATATGCACTAAAGGCCAGAAAAGAAAAAAAAAATAATATATACCCCTAAAAACTAAAATTTCCCCGAGGAAAGTGTCCCCCCGCTGAATGGGGGTGAGTTTTTAAATAAAAAATAATGTTGCACATCTTTTATTTGAAACATTTTTTTGTAAAATCAATAGGTACCAAGTAATCGCCAATGGTGCAATTTCAACCCCTATAGCGCAAAACGCCAGAGGCGTGAATGTTTGATATATTCGGTTTTATGATCACCCACCCTCCCCCTATCATCTCTGAAAAGTTCTTTTGGGTAGGATTTTTTTTTTGAAAATCGACAATTTTCCTAGACTAAAATGAAAAATCTGAACTAGATTCTTCTGTATAGGATAAACTCTCATGTAAATATATACTTACATGGTCTCCTGTGCCGGCCAAATGAATACATACTGGTTTAAAGGCATCATCCCAATGAAGCGGTAGAATCATTTGAAAAAATGCATTCTCGACTTCTGGCAAAACCAATCCTGGCTGGTATTTTGCAAATGGTGTTTGAAATTTGCCTTCAATGATGTGGCAATCTGCTAGTACTTGTGACTAAAATTATTGTAGTTGTTTAAATTAAATGATAAATATGTATTACTATTTAATATGCTAACTGTCATATAAAGTACCTACGTATATTGCATAACACATGAAGCATAGCAGAGTCTCAGAATTCGAAGATGGGATTTATATAATCCGAAAATATTTACATAACATAGCATAAACATTTTATTGAGAGGGCCATATATCGCGTTTATACATGAGTTCATAAAGTCCTGCATAAATTTATTATTTTGAAAACGGTAGAATTTTTAAAAAATCGCTGAGAGACGTCAATTTTATTTTTTTGTTTGAAATTTTTCGATATATTTTTTATTATACAGGGTGTCTCAAAAACAGCTTCGCTGGTATCAACTCTATTTTTTAAAATGGTACCCCCTGTGTATTATAACATTTCTGGATTCTGCCAAAAATTCAAGACATATTTCATGTACAATGTCATATATGTACCTATCTTCAACTGTTTCGGAAATGTTGACAGTTGAAAATTGACTGTATAATAAAAAATGTATCGACAAATTTCAAACAAGAAACAAAATCGACGTGTCTGAGCGATTTTCCAAAAATCCTACCGTTTTCAGAATAATGAATTTATGCGGGACTTTATGAACTCACTGTATAATAGTTTTTCTTTCACAAAGAACAGTTATCTTCAAAATATTTTTTTTTTTGCAATACCATCAAAGCAAAACAACCTAAGCAGGCGCCTTAGATTTCATATAAGGTATTCTAAACTATCCAATAGAGTAGTATTTCAGAAGATATAAGAGATATTGGTATGTTTTATGCCCCAGTTTACTACGATACCAAAAAAAAAACCTATTCATTATATTAATTATATACCTACATAACTCCTGAAAGTGAGGGAACAAAATCAAAACTGTTCACCGCGATCATGCACTCAGTCTGAAGGCGCTTAAACATACTGCAAACAAAGGATAACGCACTGCTAACATGGGATTTTTGCGTTCAATGGATTTTGCCCATTTTTTGATATAGTGTAGAGGATTTAATTCTTAACAACCTTTAAAGGGGCCAAATCTTGTACATATTGCGTTCTTTGAGATATGAGCGTTGAAATATGAACTTTTTTGCGACTTTTTGTGTGGAGAGTATAACGAAAAACTAGTGCTACTGGTGTTTATCAGTCGAAATATTGACAGGTCCACATATTTTACGTCAGTAACAAATGTGTGCATAGGCTAAGGCTGGGACCACACTGGGGCCAATGTTGGCGCCAACAACGCTCGTCCAATGTGTGGATCGAGATTTTAGCGTTGGCGCCAATGTTTGCACCAACGTTGGGAGTTATCCGTCTTGTGTCGGGTTTTCGACGAAACATCAAAGGGAATTTGTTTCAATACTCATGTGTCGGCCAGATATTGACATGTTCAACAGTCTCCACATGTTTCACGAAATGAGAGCGGCCTTCTTCTACGCGGATTTTTTTTTGTTTCTGCATTGAAATAAGATTATGATAAGCAGCGCTTAGCACAGCAAACGCTCTCACAGCCACTTATGGTCCGACATGCTTACGTTGGCTCTGCTTGGAACTAACTGAGCACTGAGCTTGGCTCAAATTACTAGCTCTCAATGTGTGAATGCTTTTACAAAATAATACCGTCAACACGAACCAACGTTGGCGCCAACACTCGCACCAATGTGCGGTCCCGTGGTTATCATATCTGATTTAATGCAGCATCCAAAATATTCTCATTGCTACAGGGTAATTTCTCCAGGGTGGTGAGCTAAGTAAAGAATGATAAGTGTCAGTCATAATAACATAACATAACATAATAACTCAATTTTAAAAAAAATTCAAGAAACATACATACAGGGTGGAATTTTTGAATGGAATAAATTCAGTATCAGAAAGCCTGTTTATTTTCTAGAAAAATAAAAAATAACGGGTCCCTTTATTTTTAGTTTGGCACATTTTTTCGGCCTTTCCATGGAATTTACCCTGTCTTAACGGTAGAAACCAACCCCAACTTTTTTTTTCAAATGTAAAGATATGTATTGTGATAGCTCGTTGGAATGGACATAAAAAAAGGAAAATGACCCATTATTTATTTTTGCATTTCGGTGATCTAGTTATATAATTATTTTTGACGTTAACACACTATTTTAGGGTTGAGAATTCGAGTATCAGGCATCAAATAGTGTGTTAGCGTCAGAAAAAAAAACAAATGGGGCTTGTTTCGCATTAAGGTTCTACCAAGAAAAAATTCTGAAGATATTCAACAATTCTAACTGTAAAAAAATTGTGTGGAAGAATATGATTTTATTTTTTTCTCGAATTCTAGATCACCAAAATGCAAAAGTAAATAATGGGTCATTTTCCTTTTTTTATGCCTATTCCAGCGAGCTATCACAATACATATCTTTACATTTGAAAAAAAAAAGATGGGGGTGGTTTCTTTGTCCCTTGGTGTGAATGTTTGAAATGGTTCTAGTTATCGTCCAAATGAAGTTTCAAGGCATGACAGTTTTCCAAAATTTGCTTTTTTATTTTTTTTTAATTATTTTTATACTAAGGGTAATTTTTAACACACTTCGACAGCAGGTAAGGAGTTGTCCCTTGAGTTTTCCGAAATGTGCTTTTTCAATTATTTTCATACTAAGGATAGTTTTCAACACACTCCGACGGCAGATAAGGGGTTGTCCATTGGTTGGAATGTTTGAAATGGTTCTAGTTATCGTCCCAATCAAGTTTCAAGGCGTTACAGTTTTCCGAAATATGCTTTTCCAATTATTTTCATATTAAGGGTAGTTTTCAACAGACTCCGACGGCAGGTAAGGGGTTGTTCTTTGGTCGGAATGTTTGAAATGGTTCTAGTTATCGTCCCAATAAAGTCTCAAGGCGTTACACTTTTCTGAAATGTGCTTTTTCAATTAGTTTTATATTTTATACTAAGGATAGTTTTCAACACACTCCGACAGGTAAGGGGTTGTCCTTTGGTGGGAATGTTTAAAAAGGTTCTAGTTATCGTCCAAATGAATTTTCAAGGCGTTACAGTTTTCCGAAATGTACTTTTTCAATTATTTTCATACTAAGGGTAGTTTTTAACACACTCCGGCGACAGGTAAAGGGTTGTCCTTTGGTGGGAATGTTCGAAAATTATCGGCCCAATGAGTTTGATTTGAAGGCGTTACAGTTTTCTGGAATGTACTTTTTCAATTTTTTTTTTCAATTATTTTTATACTTAGGGTAGTTTTTAACACACTCCGACGGCAGGTTAGGGTTGTCCTTTGGTGGGAATGTTTGAAATATTTTTTTCTGAAAATTCAAGGTACTGAGAATCTGAATATCATGTTTCAAACACATCTGGTAGTGGCAATCTTCTTCTATAACAGTGCTTTATAATATTCTACGGCTCCCGCAGCTCGAATTTTTTTCCTCAGTTGTGACCGTCCCGCCCGACTCATAGGCAGGTAACAACACTGGAGGAAATAAGTTTCATGAGACTTGTAAATTGTAGTAAGTTTCATCAAACTTTTTTTCACGTCAACGCACACAGTATAAAAAAAATATATATTACAGTAGTACCGTACTGTAATGGGAATTTCGACGACCTCAGACTTGACGATACGATAAGTATGGCATAATTTTTGCCGAAACATATTCCTTTGTAAACTTTCGAAAAATTGAAAAGCCATACTGTAACAATTCGTTTCGTTTTTTTGGTCTCATCTTAGCGCAAGTGTGACAGTCTTCAGCCCCATGGTATCAGTATGTGATAATTGTTTTCAGATAGAATCGTATAGAAGCAAACTGGATACAATGATGCCATACTGTAATAAATAATTTTGCATCTTGTATTAGTTGTAGCTCAAAAACGTTCCAGAAAAGCAGTTATTCAAGTATGGCACCACCAAGAGTTGACGATAAGTATGGCATAATTTTTCCGAAGCATATTACCTTGTAATCTTTCGAAAAATTGGCATTGGCAATATGGCATTAATGCCATACTGTTACAATTCGTTTCGTTATTATGTTTTTGATCTCAAATTAACGCAAGTGTGACAGTCTTCAGCCCCCTGGTATCAGTATGGGATTATTGTTTTCAGGTAGAATCGTATAGAAACAAACTGAATACAATGATGCCATACTGTAATAAATAATGCTAGACCTTGTACCAGTTGCAGCTGGAAGACGTTTCAGAGAACTAGTCTTCAAGTATGGCACCACTTTTGCACTTGATTAAAAGTATGGCAAATATATGAACGGTGACATTGTATCATTACCTTTCGAAAAAACAAATGCCATACTGTTACAAATCGTTTAGCATTATCAAAGAAATCTACGTCTTTGGGCGGTATGGCGGCTACTTGGAACTTGGATCCATCGGAAAGGTATGATATGGTGATTTTCGTGAAAAAAAATTATAAAAACTAACGCGCGCCGAATGGTATGGCGGGCAATAATCCCCACCGGAAAAGTATGGCATTTTGCTTTCGACTAGTTCAATTTTCATATACTATCGAAAAATACAAGAATCTTTCTGTTACAAATCGTTTGGAGGAGTTTGTATTTTCATTTTCTTTTTTGAATTGATATTAATTAAAAATACCTATGCTGAAAAATTTAGTAGAATATCCAAACATGAAATATTCGGTAGTAAAAATCCAATATTCGGCCGAATACCGAATAGCGAAAATAACGCCGAATAGGCCGAATACCGAATAACAAGCCGAATAACTATTCGGCTTCGGTCACATCTCTAATATATACATAGTGTACGAAAAGTAACGGGACGATCAACTACCTCTGAAACCACTGGTGCAATTTGGACAAAATATGGTACCTGAACGTTACTTGACAAGTCGTATTCGAAAATCGCATCGACGCTGTTGCCAATCTTACCAATTTTTCTAGAGGCCCACAATCTTTTTTATTTTAAATCAAACACTCCACTTATTTTAACCTGCATTGATTGCTCTTATTTTAATATTGATTTCATTCACCTGTTATTCCGTTTCCACTAAAT